CGAGCCCCCAATCGAATGCTTTCTTTTATAAGAGTAGCCTTGGTCATGGAGTCTCTTCATAGCAACAATAGTGACTAAGAAATTCCTGTGTCCATCATTGGATCCATTGCAGAATTGTTGAGTTTCTCTTTTAGCAAGCCTCATGTATAGCCTCTGTCCTTCATCTCACTCTATCTGGACCCATAGGCATTAATTATATCATTTCATGTTCTCACAGGAAGAGGGGAAAGAACAGTCTAATAAGCTATGTTGAGAACTCTCTCTCTCTCTCTCTCTCTCTCTCTCTCTCTCTCTCTCTGTGTGTGTGTGTGTGTGTGCATTTGCACTTTTACCTGTGTGCTTTTGTGTATGGAGGCCAGAGGCTAAGCTTGAGTATCATTTTTCAGGACTTATCATCCTTGTATCTTGAGACAGGGTCTCTCATGGGCCTGGAGCTCTCCAAGTAGGATAGACAGACTGGCCAGTGAGCTCAGAGATCTGCTTGTCTTGGTGTCCCCAGCACTGGGATTACAAGTGCACACCATTATGCTTGGGTTTTTTTTTTAAGATTTTATTTATTTATTATGTATACAACATTCTGCTTCCATGTATATCTGCACACCAGAAGAGGGCACCAGATTTCATAATGGAGGGTTGGGAGCCACCATGTGGTTGCTGGGAATTGAACTCAGGGCCTCTGGAAGAGCAGTCAGTGCTCTTAACCTCTGAGCCATCTCTCCAGCCCCTATGCTTGGGTTTTTAATGAGGATTCTGGGGATTGAACTCAAGATCTCATGCTTGCAAGGCAAGCACTTTACTTTGTCATTATTAAGGATAAGTTCGGTAACCTTCTCCCTAGACAGACCCACCCAGCCTCCCCTGAGGCAGGCCCTACCCTGTGTTGGGGCAAGCACTTTACTGATTGAGTTACCTCTCTATCTCTGTCACTTAACATTTGGGTTATTCTATTTTATAATTAATTATTGTCACTGGTTTACTTGACCCAGCTGGCAAATTAAACTTCATCATAGGCCTGTGTGTGTAGGAAAAACCATAGTATATGGAAATTCAGTTCACCAGTTTCTTTTGCAGACATTCCCTAGGGGGGCTGAGAAGACATCTCCTGTGGATAGAGAGACTGTCCTCCTCATCTGCAAAACAAAGTCATACATTGCATAAACACACCATCTCAATGTGGATTTCTAGAAAAAGGCCCAGAGAGATATAATGGGTTGACTCTCAGCCCTGCTATCTCACTGGGGTTCAAAGGTGGTTTTAGGTAAACTTTATATTTAATGTTTACATTTGTGTATTTATTTAAAAATATTCTTTTGCCAGGCTGTGGTGGTGCACACCTTTAGTCCCAGCATTTGGGAGGCCGAGGCAGGAGGATCTCTGTGAGTTCAAGACCATCCTGGTCTACAAGAGTTAGTTCCAGGACAGCCTCCCAAGCCACAGAGAAACCCTGTCTTGAAATACAAAAAACAAGCAAACAAAAAAAACCTTTTTTTATTTTTAATTATGCATTTGTGGGTTTGTGTGTGGATATGTATACTTGTGTGTGCAGGTGCCTGAGGAGTCCAGAAGAGGGAGCTAGATTCCCTAGAGCAAGTTAAGGCAGTTGTGAGCTGCCCAATATGAGTGCGGGGAACCCAACTTGGGTCCTTTGCACAGACTGTATGTGTTCTTCACCGCTGAGCCATCTCTCCAGCCCCCAATTTTGATATTTTTATGTCTCTCCTATTAGACTGTTCTAAATGGCTTGAGGAGAAGGACAGTTTGTTTCACTTCTCGTCTCTAGCACCACACCAATGATTGTCATTTATGTAAATACTAGTTACGTCTCCATGCTTCCTGGGGTGGGTGGGTGGGGGTGTGTGGGCTCAGAAGGATAGAACTCCACTGTGGAACCTGGAGTTTATTTCAAGGAAATCTCTTCTATTGTTTCATTTAAACTCATTAAGCCTCTCTTAATCTTTGGAGATTTTAGGGAAGAATTTGTTTGCCATTTGCCAGGGAGAATGATACAAATTCTTTAAGAAAGATGACATTCATTCAGTCTTCCGTGATGTCTTCTGTGACCATGTTCATAAGCACTCCTGTACCCTGGAGATTTGCCTTTCTAGGAAGCTGGGCCATTTTGGCTTACATTCCTTTCAGGCATGTTCTTATTGGGCGCAGATAAATCATGCTAGTTTTATGCTAAGTAGTCTTTGTAGATATGCTTTCATGTTTAGCCCTGTGACAAATGTCCTAGGAACTCCATTAGCCTTTTCTTCCCATGGTCTCAAAGATGGTTCAGAACTACTGAGCTGTCTTTCAGTTGTACTCAGGGCATATTGGCTTTCCTGGGGCCTGGAGCCTTCGGGGATCCAGGGCACTTAACTTCTGAGCCATTCTTTAGCCTAAGTGATTACCTTGCTTTTACTAATGAGCAAAATAATTCTTCCAAATGTCAATGGATCTATAATCCTGCCCAAATGTCATAGGAAAGGGTGGTGACATCTTGGAAAACATTCATGCCTTGATAGGCTTTTGCTATGTCATCCTCGGGTCAGGTCAGGTTCTGCTGGACGTTCCATTATCACACCACTCCAGTGAGGGTCTATGTGTGGTTTCCATTCCAATTACTGGGAAACAATTCTCTTAAATCATTACAATGGGCATTTGACACGGAACACAAATGCCGGTTTTTGTTTTTGTTTAATTTCTTCCTCCCCCAGAGGAGAGAATCTAAAGAAATGAAAACCTGTTTTCCATCTCCCTCTTCTTTCCCAGTCCAGGAACATTTGAGATGATCATTAATGCTGGGTCATTTCGGACTCGGCCAATGCAATTGTTGAATTTGTGGTTTTGAGCAGATTTGTAGTTTGGCTTTTCATCTTTGACTAATGACTGCTTTCAGGCCTTTGTGGCATATTCATTTCCCCAACATTTAAAATAAATACTGAAGTGTCATGGAAACCGGTGCTGGCTTCTTTCTTGTTCTCAGTGTGTGTCTATTTTGATGGCTTTTCTTTAGTGATGACTTCAGCTGCTGTGAAATAGATACTGACTTTTGCTTTTATGTACATTTGGCTATTACAGCAAGACGATTGACACAGATGGTGAGGGGCCTTCCAAGGAGGATTTAGTAGGATAAAAAGCAATCTTTTCATGTATTCCTTTATATATTTCTTCAGTGAGCTATAATGAGGCCCTACTGTGCACCAGGCATTAAGACACACACTCAGTTACTGTGGTTGTCATCATAAAAAACAAACCAATGAATAAAACCTACCTGGGCTGGGTAGCCATAATTCTAGCTATTCAGGAGGCTAAGACAGAGTATCATTTGAGACCAGGATTTGCTTGTTTTTGAGACACCGTCTCTTTATGTAGCCCTCTCTCTACTTAAATATTATTTTGTAGGCTTATTTTTTATTTTACGTGTAGGAGTGTTTTGCTTGCATGTACGTATGTGCACCATGTGAGAGCAGTGGCCCCAGAGGCCAGAATTTGGATCTGCATATGAAAGAGAACATGTGGTGTTTGTCTTTCTGAGCTTGAGTTAGCTCACTCAGTGTAATTTTTTCCAGTTGCAAAAAGCAGTAGATGCAACTAAGTAGGTGGCGATGCTTGCTTTACCTGTATGTATGTTTTAGGCTCTCGTCAAGGGGAATGTTAACCTCCCCTCTTTCCATATAACACTTCTTTTCTTTGTAGACAGGGTCTCACACTAAGCCCAGGCTGTTCTGAAGTTCATTATGTTGTCTGGGTTGGCCTTGAAGGTCTGGCAGTCTTCCTGTCTCATCCTGCCATGTTCTGAGATTACAGCTATATAGCCACCATATCTGGCTTTTCTGTATGTGCACACATGTATGGTGTATGTGTGTTGTCCTGCACAGGTGTACAGCTGTGTGCGCATGCACATGGAAGCCAGTGAGGTCCTCAATTGCTCTCCATCTTGTTTTTTTGTTTTTTGTTTTTTGTTTTTGGAGACAGGGTCTCTCACTGTCTCCAGAGCCCACTTCTTCTGAGAGACTGGCTGCCCAGCTAGCCCTGGGACCCTTCTTTCTGCCTGGTAGGTGCTGGAATTATAGGCATGTATCACTATGCCCATTTTTTTTTTTTTTTGTTTAATGTGGGTGCTGGGGATCTGAACTCAGGTCCTAATCTTGTATGACTGACAAGTGCTTTACTAACTGAGCTATTTCCCAGCTTCACACGCCCCTCCCCCCTTTTAAATTTTTAATGATTGTATTTGGTACTGGTTATAGAGTTCCTAGAGGACATTCTCAAAACATAAAAGCTTAGAGTTCAAACTGGGCCCTCTGTTAAAGGCTTTTTTCAGTGCTGTAGGAAGGTTTATGTTTTTTAAGACATTTTTGAGCTGTGTGATAGTGGCACAGGCCTTTAATCCCAGCACTCAAGAGGTAGAGGCAGGCAGATCTCTGTGAGTTCGAGGCCAACCTGTTCTGCAAATTGGGTACTAGGATAGCCAGAGTTGTTACACAGAGAAACCCTGTCTTAAAAGAAAATCTCTCTCTCTCTCTCTCTCCCTTCCACCTTCCCTCCCTCTCTTTCTCTCTCTCTGTGTATGTATGCATGCATGTATGTATAGATACATATCAAAATGATTTAATCTTGTCACAAATACTGTATGTCTGAATATGCTCATTCTCTCTCAAGGTGAAATGCCACTTTTCTGGTCTGTTTTAGAGTTACTTAAAAATATTTATGTGGTTTCGTTACACATACACTTTGCAGTGTTTCCTGTCTCATGGTTATAACACCCACGGTTCTTTCAGAGGGAGGCTGACCGTGCAGGCTGTACCATCTGGCTCACTTGCTGGCTGGCTTCCCACTGGGTTGTGTGACAGACTGAGGCTAAAAAGAAGGAACAAACTGGGTGTATGGCACACAATTTTGATCCTAGTACTCGAGGGGCAGAGGCAGGCTGATCTCTTTGAGCTCAAGGCTAGCCTGGTCTACATAGCGAGTTCCAGGAGCCTCTCATTGCTGTGGGTTTTTCTCTTCAGGAGTATGTGCACCACCTGCTGGCCCTGGAGCACCGTGCTGAGGAGCAGTTTCTGGAACACTGGCTGAATCCCCACTGCAAGCCTCACTGCGACAGGAACCTGGTCCACCCCGTGTAAAGGCCCCGGGGCCAGCTTGGTGTGTCCCAGGCCTTCTGTTAGAGGGTGACTGTGGGAAGCATGCTCATGGTGGGGAGGCTCTTGGGGGCAGTGTGCTTAGGGGCCAGGGTGTCAAAAGCTTGTTGCTTAAGGGGTGGCAAGGGAGCCAGGCAAGAAGGAAAGCAGGGGAGCCTACTGGTGACCGAGAGGTCCCAGATCTGGTGGGAATGGTACCTTGCCATCCAGGAAGGAGTTGTGTACCACACGCATGCAGTTCCTATAGAGGCCAGAAGAGGGCATCAGATCCTCTGGGACTGCAGTTATAGCCAGTTGTGAGCCCCACCTTGAGGATGCTAGGAATTGAATCTGACTTCTCTAGAAGAGCAGCTCTTAACCCTTGAGTCATGTTTCTCTGTAATTTCCCCTCCTCCAGTTTGGAGGGCCTGGAGCTCGCTGTGTTGATTAGGCTAGCCTCGAGCTCAAAGAGGTCCTCCAGCCTTTGTCTTCTGAGTATTTAAAGGCATGCACCTCTGAGGTTTTTACAGACCGAACAGGACAGAGCATCACTGGATAGTTTATTATGTGTGGTCACAGGCAATTGTCTCATCTTTGCCACTGCATATTTTGTGCTAGCATATTGGACGCTCCCTTCAGAGTGTCAGCCAGTAGTTTGTAGAGTGCTCTCCCAGAAGTTCTGCCATTGACTGTCTTATTACCCCAGTGTCATTGATGGCATTCACTTTAGCTGACTGGGCATTAATGGAGCGCCTCACTCAGACACAGAAAGGGCTGGCATGGCCATCTTCTGATAACTCCCAATCCTGCAAGGTTTACACAGTCTGTTGCTTGGTCCTGTTTAAGGCATCCCTGGGAGGCAGCCTCGCAGAGGGCAAGGGGATGCTCTCAGAGTAGAAGAGAAGTAAGGCTTTGTCTGATTTCCCTTTTCTACTCTTTCTGACCCCAGTTCTGGATCAGTTCCTCTAGTGTGCCAGCTAGTACTAGATTTATGTTTGGGCCTTGGCAGCTCCCACAAGCTAGTTTCAGCTGCTTGCTTTCAATAGGCCAATCAAAGTCATAATTAATGGAGAAAACCAGAGAACGGAGACATTCCATGAGGCCACATAGGGAAGAGGAACAGAGGTCCAGTGAACCCTGTGTTCTGACTTGGGGTTTAGAATTAAGTAGAGGACCGGAGGCGTGCCTCACTATGTGGCCTTGGACAAAGTGTGGTCTGTCAGTCATCATTGTCTAGGCTCCAGTCTCTTCCCAGCAGACAATTCCTTCTCTTGCAAGCATTGGGCATCGGTCTTTTCCTTCTCCCAGTGTGAAACTCCTAGAGAAATACCAATTTCTAAGGGTTTGTGTGAATAGTCTGATAGCCAAAGGGAGGGACAGCCCTCCCAAGTCTTAAAAAAAAAAAAAAAGACATCCCAGTAGACTAGGATGACTTTGAACTCCTGATCCTTCTTCCCACAGCTTCCAAGTACTGGGATTATGGGAGTGTGCAGCCACAGTTGGTTTTGTTCAGTTCTGGGGTCAAATACAGGGCTGCATGCATGCTAAGCAGTACTCTTATTTATTTGCTTATTTATTTTGTATACAGTGTTTTGTCTGCATGTTTGCCTGCAGGCCAGAAGAGGGCATCAGATCTGATTACAGATGGTTGTGAGCCACCATGTGGTTGCTGGGAATTGGACTCAATCAGTGCTCTGAACCTCTGAGCCATCTCTCCAGCCCCATCTAGGCAGTACTCTTAACCACTGACTTGCAACTTCAGCCCCCCAAGTGTCTCCTGAAAAATACCTTTATTTCTGCCAGGATGGTTACTTACGGACATGCTTCTGACTTCCAGGCTTCCATTTCCTCCTTCAAGGGCCATGTCTTCTATCATACAAAACTCTTGTTTGGTTTCCTCTGGAAAACAGAACTGTGGGGGCAGGTGAGATGGCTCAGCTGGCACATGCCACCAAGCTTGATGATTTGAGTTTGGTTCCTGGAACCCACATGATGGGAGGAGAGAACCAATTCCCAAAAGTTGTGCTCTTGTCCTCTGCACTGTGACATAAGCATGTGCACACATATGAGTGCACACACACAGACACAGACACACACATAGACACAGACACACAGACACTCAGACACACACACACACACACACACACACACACACACACACACACAGAGAGACACACACTAAAATTTAAAAAAGGAAACATAATTGTGGAGTACTTAGGGGCTCAGACTATGGCCAGAGTGGGCTCGAGGCTCTGTGTCTCAGCTCTGTGGCAAGTGACTTCTCCCTTCTCAATTTCTGTTTCTGCATCTACATATCGGGGTAACATTGTCTCTGGACCTGGCACTCAGTGAATGACTTTTTCAGCAGAATCATGGGATTCCGCAAAGGTCTCATTCCAGACAGCTCCCACATACATGGAGGCAAGGAAGTGGTGGCTTCAAGAGCAGCTCAGCCTGGAATTAGGAGTCAAAACAGCTTGCAGATCTGAGTCCGAGTCCGCTAGTCTCTGGCGGAATGGAAAAAGCTGGCCTGACTGCCTTCTATGTCTCCTGTAAGATGTACCTATAGGGAGCCTCTCCTTTTTATTGTCCTCAGGATCCAAAATGGCCCAATGGGTCAAGAAGCTTGCTGTGCTGGGTGGCGGCAGCGTTTGCTTTTAATTCCGGCAATTGGAAGGCAGAGAGGCCAGCCTGGCCTGCAGAGAGTTCCAGGACAGCCAGGGCTACCCTGTCTCAAAAAAAAAAAAAATCAAAAACCAAAAAACAACTACAACGAAAAGAGTGCTTGCTGCTCTTCCAGACTACTTGAATGAATTCAATTCCCAGCACTCAGGTCCGGCAGCTCACAACCACCTACATACCTTCAGCTCCAGGGAAGTCTGACACCCTCTTCTGGCTTCTTGGCACACCTGCATCACACACACATACACACATGCTTACACAGGGACACACATACATAAATAAAGAAAATAAGTCTTTCAAAATTGGTGCACACAGAGGGAATTTGCACGAAATGACAGCTGGTGGCTCCTTTCTTCTTCTCTTTCACCACCACCACTCTAAAATTATTTTCTCCCTCCTTTCTTCTCCAGCAAGTTGACGGGCCGAGACCCAGAGACTGCTGGGACAGAGAGAAGCTCATCTTCCATTTGATCCGAAGCAGAAGAAATGAGGTCTCCTGTCCTCAGGAACTTGCGGTCCCTTGTTGCCCACATGGCAAATATATATTCTGCTCGGTTTTACTAACCGCCCTGCATCATGAAAACTAACAGCTTGAATCACAGGGCTCCTGAGGCCTTCCTACCAGTTTGCAAGCATAGGCAGAGCCCAAATCCTCCCTAGAGGGATGGGGCTGGGGGCGGCACACAGGCATGGGGCAGGGTTGTCTGCACTGGGGACCTTGGGGACCTAGATAATCCTGCTCAGAAGGGGGACGTGCATCACTTGGAGCTGCTGAGTTTTGGGGTCATCTGCGTTGTTTTTCTCTGCTGCACTAATAAAGGCTGGCGTTTGATCATTCTGTGTGTCTCTTTTCCTACAAGGAGGGAACTGGGGGTATCTTTCCCTTATTCACCTCTGTAAACCCAGTTCTGGATAGTGTGCCGCTCTTTATTATTTATTTAAAAACTTTTAAAATATTAGTTTATATGTATAAATGCTTGGCTGCATGTGTATATGTGCACCATGCTCTGGGAGACCAGAAAGAGGACCCTGATCTCCTGGAACAGGAGTTACTAGAGAGTTGTGAGTCACCATGTGTATAGGGGGTTTGAGAACTGAACCTGGGTCCTCCGCAAGAGCAGGAAGTGCTCTTGATTCCTGAGCCATCTCTCCTGCCCTATACTGTTCTTTAAATATGAGAATGGGGCCCGGTGAGACGGCTAAGTGGGTGAGTGTGTCTGCTGCCAAGCCCGGTGACCTGAGTTTGATCCCCAGGGCCTACATGAGAAAAGAGAACCGACTCCTGTAAATCATCCCCCATCTTCCCCAAGCATGCTGTGGCATGCTCTCACCCATTTATAGGAATAGACAGATGTGGATATGAGATTAAAATGTAATAGATTTAAAAATGAATGGAAAAATGAACACAGCATTTTTTCCACAAGGGCTGCTTTAGTTTTTTGAAAAGAAGGAATAATTGCTCAAGATTAACCCAACTGGGCCATAACTTGACATCACATACATATCTAGTCTACTAGCAAAGGTAGCATAGAAGAGATTTTTTTTTTTTTTTTTTTTTTGAAAAGCAGGGTGCTTCTCTGTACCTCAGTCCCAGAATTAGAGATTAGACAGTGAAAACTCAAGCAGGGAAGGGCCATCACCTTGAGTGGTGTCAGGGGTGGGCCTGCCTGTAGGGAGGCTGGGCTGGGCTTGTTTAAGGAGAAAATTATTGAATCTCTGCGTACCAATGACAGGACAAAATGGAGTCCCTGTGTCAACTCTACGAAGACAAAACAGTAAATAAAGCTGTGGCATGTGAGGCAGGCTTCTTACAGCTGTCAAAAAGAACTTTAGTAGACCTCAAAGGCCACTGACACCTCACATAGAAAGTTCTGTAAAGACATTAGCCTCACTTTGCTTAACTTGGGGCTGACGATACCCTGTTGTTGATCATTGTGACTGAGGGCTATTGATTCAATATGACTAATGTAATCTTTTTGTCTTGAAAATTCTGTTTGCTTCTTCCTTCCTTCCTTCCTTTCTTCCTCCCCCCTCTCTCTTTCTTTCTTTCAAAAAAAGGTTCATTTATTTATTATGTATACAGTATTCTGTCTGCATGTTGCATGCAGGCCAGAGGAGGTCACCAGATCTCATTACACATGGTTGTGAGCCACCATGTGGTTGCTGGGAATTGAACTCAGGGCCTCTGAAAAAAGAGGCAGAGTGCTCTTAACCACTGAGCCATCTGTCCAGCCTGTCTGTCTGTCTTTCTTTCTTTCTTTCTTTCTTTCTTTCTTTCTTTCTTTCTTTCTTTCTTTCTTTCTTTCTCCCCCCCTCTCTCTTTC